CTGGCCATTTCCCATCATTCCTCTCGCTGTTCTCCTGTTTCCAGGGTTTGGAGGATGAGCTGAAGGAGCCCAAGTGTTAAAGGACACTTATGGTCCATGTGTCAGTGGTGACTGTTGGTTGAGCTGCATTCAGTGTCATCTTAGCAAGTGTCTGAATTTGGTGCATTTCAGAAATGATGCTGAAGGAGTGAAGCACATTGTGTCCTCCCATCTGCTGCTTAAACTCCTTTCTTGGCTTTCCCTTGTGCTCCATGTTTCAGTTCAGAATGCTCATCCTTCCTTCCAGACCTTTCCCAGTGTACATCCCATCCTCCTTCAGCTGAGCTCCTCCTCTCTCCCATAGCTGCCACAGTCCTGTGGCAGTGAGGATCTCCACAGCTGCCCCAAACCAGGAGCTTTGCTTGCTGTGCTCCATCACCAGAGTGTGAAAGCTCCTGAGCTGTGTCAGGTGTCTCTGAGGCTTCACCACCTGACATTCTGATTGCTTTTATTCCCTAGGGAAGCAAAACTGGGCATCAAACCCACAGCCCAGTTGCAGGGTATCACCTTAGAGACCAACCTTCCTCCTTCAAACTGCAGTGTAAGTGATGTTCATCAAATCACACTGCACTAAGTCATGCTCAGGCAGTTTCCATGTCAAGAAAACACTGGTGAGTGTTTCTACCTAAAGCATTTTCTTAGACTCATGCTCAGACCCTGGAGCAACACAGGCTGCTGCAGTTTGTGACCTCATAGGAGTGGAAATCTCTCCAAACTCGGTTTCTCTTGTGCTTTTTTTGCACATAAGCACATCTCTAGCTCTTTCAGTGTTAATGAAATGAGACACACCTTAGAAAAAAGGTTGCAAGTAGATGGATTATTTCAGAGCTGCTACAGACAGATTTCTATAGCATTTGATATGTTCTAGTAAGTACATCACAGGCTAAAGTTTATCTTAAATAATCCATAAAACAAACCCTCAGACCCAACAAACCTGTTGTTTGTCCTGCCACAAGGAGCATTTGCATCTGAGCTGCATTGCAAATGGGTTTGATGCAAAATTAGATTTGTGTGTGGTGGTTTTGTTCTCTGCCATGTGGCATATGGACTTGTACACGCAGTGGCCTTGTCTAGCAAGTGTTTGGCACAGACTTCCTCCTCTTTTGTGCTTCCTGAATTGCTGACAGCCTCGTGTGGAAGTGGTGTTGGATACCCACAGGTGGAGGTGAATTCTGAACCAAAAAGATGTCCAAATGGCAAAATGAGGGTCGTGGTTTTTCCTTCATGGAAGGAAATACGTGGCAGGATGAAACAGTGCAGCCCCAACTGCAGCCAGGCAGAACATGAACACTGAGAACCTCAATAAAGGATGTTGAAAGCTTTTTCTTTAGAATCCTTTTGTCTAAATTTTTTTTTCTCTTTCCCAAGCAGATTTCTGCTCCCTCTCCTTGAGTGTGTCCATCCCAGAGATGAATTCCTCTTGAAGAATGATAAGGATTATGTTGCTGGGGATAGATACTCATCTCTAACAGTATTGGGCATGATGACATAGTAATCAAAGCTTTTTTCCCTTTGTTTTAAAGTGAGTGGAATGACTCCACTAATGCCCACAAGTCTTTATTCTCTCCCCTGCCTTAAGCAGAGATATCTAGTTTGCCTTCTCAGCACAGTACTGAGAACAGGAATTGCAATTCATCTTAGCCTCTGCTCTGATACCATCTCACTTGAATATTTTTTTGTCCATTTCTAAAAGGTCAAACGGTTTTTTGCTGACGTTCAGTGTGTTATGAGGTCAAATAAATGAATGCTCATGAAATGCTTTTGCAGAAAGCTGTGTGCAGCAGATAATTTGTGTGTGTGTGTGTGTTCATTTCTCTGCCAGATAAATGCAGTTGTAGTATTTCCTGGTTTATTCATTGTCCTGGAGCATTGATGCTTGGCAGGCCTGGGTAGAGGGGTCAGCAAACAACAAATTAAGGGATTACTCTGATATTATTCTGGTTGGGATTCATTTATGTCCCCACTGGGCTCTGGGGGTGTCTGTGGATTGCTTTCTCCAGCTGATCAGAAAAGGAAGGTTTGGCATGACAGTATGGGAGGGATGTGGTAAAACTGGTGATTGGAATATTGATCCATGCTGAAGTAAAGGAGAGAGGGGATTGCCCCATTCCATCACAAATCAGGGAAGTCCAAGGCCACAGCCTGGTTTCTCATTCAGAATCAGGTGATTTGCAGTCCTTGTGCTTTCCTCCAGATGCTGTGTCCTGCAGGATCTGTTTCTTCCAGACAGAGCTTGGTGCTGTGCCTTGGGCTCCAGTTGCATTTGGCCCTGGAAAGAGCACACTTAGTCTCCTGCTTCCATGCACTTGGAGGCACAAAGCTCACAAACTCCAGGTCCTGGGATCCCTTACAGATGGGATATAACATATCAGGGGCTTGGAACTTGGGGGTGGTTCTGTTCTCTTGTGACTGTAAACGTTGGCACTTGGTTAGTTCACTTGCTGAAATCCAGAGATACAGCTGTGGAGCAAATAGTGCCCAGACATTCTGCTTGCCAGATAAACTGGCAGGATCCCCTTCTGACTGACAAGAGAAGGTTTAGTTCCTAACGAGCTGGGAAATGAGCCCTTCTGTGTCAGGATGGGTCCTGCAAAGCTGTGGCTGTAACTTCAACTGGAAAAGGTTAATCTGATTAGCGTTTGCAAAGAGCTTTAAGGATGAAAACTGCTATGGAAGTGCTGACTGTTATGATCATGATAGATATGCTTTATCAGCAGTTTGCCCAATGAGTAAGACTCTTTTTTCTCATTTGGCTGTCAGGGAGCTGCTTCCTGGAGAGCAGAAGGAAAGTGTTTCAGGGGAAAAAAAAAGGAAGAAATGGCTTTCCATAAATGCCACTTTGGTACCTCTAAGTGTTCAGGTTCTTGCAGATCTCACTGTCTGACAGTGAGCACACAAGAGACTTTCCAGCAATGGATTCACAGTCTGATATTGGTATTTTTCAAGTATGACTTGGACAGTTTTGCCACAGTGCAGGTTACTCATACCAGTTTAGAGATCAGCTCTTAAGCTCTTACACTGCTCTGCTTTGTCCACTGCAGGAATTGCCATTGCAGGTCAGGTGTGTGGGGGTTTATTTCTTGTTTTTCATACTTAGGGGCTGGGGGGTGGTGGTAGGGGGGTGGTTGGTGTTGTTCCAGTATTTGATACACAAAGTGCAGGCTCAGAAACTGCACAGAATCACATGTTTTATGGAAAGGAAAATCCTCCTGGGAGGAGCAGCCAGAGTTCATGATTAATTTGTAGAGCATGCATGCACGCCATGTATTGGGGAGGGAGGGGAGCTGCCTCCTCTCTGCTTCTTCCATCCTCAAAAGAGACATTTGTACCTGGTAAGGCTTAGAGATGTGTGATCTGAAAAACCAATTTCTGCCAACAAAAAGAGGCCCAGACTCGAGCTGCCTTGCAGGTGCTGTCAGATGATGTGGGATTGTAAAATGGTGTTTCCATCCTGAATAGGGTTTTTGACTGTCTTTTGCTATCAAGAATAGTCTTCAGAGGCTGTGCCTTGCTCTGACTGCTGTCAGATGTTCAGATTAAAAAAAAAATAAAGTACTAGAGTGCAGTTTATAGAGTAGTTTCTCCCTTCGGAGCTTTCAGGGAGTTATAAAGGAGAGTGTAATGAAGTGATCTTCCACTTCCCATGTGGAAACTAGGGCAGAATGGAGAGAAAAACTGGTTGGGTGACTTGTGTCCTTTTCTGGTAGCTGAGAAAAGCCAGGTCCAGCTCTCAGCTTTCCCGTGGGCTTCTGGAGTGCTGCAGCAGTGAGTCACAGGGCTGACTCTGGCCCTCACTTTCTCTCTGGCTAACAGCCTGACTCCTCCAAGGGATGGTGCAGAGCTGGGCCTGGGCACGTGCAGTTCCTCAGAGGTGTTTGGGAGACCAGGCTTGATGAAAATCATCGCAGCATCTTTGCATTTCTCTGGTCCTTTCCGAATCCATTAAGCGCTGGAGGAATGAATGGAGGTGGCAAGGGTTAGGGAGATATGAGGGCAGTGAGTCAAGGCTGAGCTGTGAATAAATATCTCTCCTCCACGATCTAATCTGCAGACATCACACCTGTCTCCTGGCTGCTCTGACTCTTCCCTGCTCTGCACCAAACCCTAAGTCATCCTGTGGGCTGGAACACCGTTGTCTCCTTTGCGAGCTGAGCTCTGTCTCTCTTCTCTTTTGAACACAGGTCTGTGTGAAGTGCCCCAGTCCCTGTGCCCAGATCTCTTCCTCTGCAGCAGTCACCAGCGTGTGGAGCCTGCCCCACACCATCCCCTGCCAAACCACGGCCTTTACCTGCGTGTTCCGCTGTTTCCCGTGCGACCCTTCCTGTGGGAGTGCCTCCTGGGCCACCCCAGAGTTCACCCAGCGCTCCGTGGCTCCAATGGTGAAGATGACAAGGTCCAAGACTTTCCAGGCGTATCTGCCTTCGTGCCACAGGACCTACAGCTGCATTCACTGCAGGGCTCATCTTGCCAACCACGATGAGCTCATTTCCAAGGTAGGTGCTTGGCCTCACCCGAGGTGCAGGGTGGATGTTGTTCCCCGGGCGGCGGAAGGGAGTGTTGGCTCACTGGGCCTGGCCTTACCCAGTGTTGCTGTTTTCACCTGGAAAATGGGCTCTCAGCCCAAAGGATCTGTGAGCTGCCACTCGTTTGAAGTGATCTGGAAATGGTTTCCAAATCCAGGTCTTTGGAGTGCTTACAGGTGGTTTGGCTCTTCCCATGGCACCACCTCCTCCCTCTGTTTCCGCTGTAAAACCACACGAAGTGATGGTCAGGAGTGTGTGAATTACGTTCCTGGTACCTCTTGTTCATGTACCACACTTGTCAGGTTAGCCAAAGATTTGTTGCGTGATCATGATTTGGAGGAGAAGTGTCTGGAGATGTTCTCTGTCAAACCTGGAGCTGTACCAAGTGATTACACTAAAGCTTCTACTTAAGGGAAGGTTCTCTGATGCTTCCATAAAAATGTGGGATAGCTTTCCAAAGGCTGAGTTGTTGCTCACACCCTTATACTTTTGCCAGTCTACTACCAAGACACTTTACAGTGAAAAAATAAGGGATGGATGGTGAGATGTGCCCTGAGCTGGGGAGACTGCAAGGATTCTGTCCTCTCCTATCTATTGATCAGAAGGTGAAGGGCCTTGAGGATAACTAAAAGCTTTCAGAGGCAATAAATCAGGGGTCTTTGGTGCAGAGGGAATCAGCCAGTAAGAGGATCTTGTTCTGAAGTGTGAAAACTAAACTTCCTCAGAGTGCCTGCAGTGCCTGGCTGTGGTCAGGCATCAAGTTTCCAGGTTTTGGCTGCCTTGGAATAACTGTTCCGTGAAGTTTATTCAGCTTATAAAATTTGTGTTCAGAAAAAACAGACACAGCATCAGATTTATGAGCTGAGATGAGTGGAAATGGTGCTGAGAGCTCTGTGTGTGCAGCTTAAACATTTCAGCTTCTTGGAGCAGCCTGGAGAGAGAGGCAAGGCCAGGAGCAGCAGGGACAGAGGTGCTCTGCCTGTTGGGAAGTGTTTAAGTGCTTTTCTTCATCCTGTTGGCGCAGAAAAGGTGTCACCTTGCACCAAAGGCATCTGTCCTTACAGGGTGGACACCTCAGCAGCTGTGGAGGTCCTTCTGGATTCTCTGTGTTGGGTGCTCAGACCTTTCTTTTCCTTCCTTTTTCTCTTGGTTGCTGCGTGGGCCAGCTGATGTGTACCTCTGTGATGTTGTCTCCATGGCCAAAAAAAATTGGATTCAGTTATTCTGGGATGAATAATGCTGATTGCAGACTGCTACAGTTTTGGGGTTTGCAGTTTCTGAAGAGAGAGGCTTCCCATCAGGCTGACACCTCTGAGTCACTCCAGGCCTCGAGGGGGTTCCTCGTGTCTTGGTACAGTTGCAGAGGTTCTTAGAGCTGTCCTTGAGGACAGCAGTGCCTCAGGCTTTGAAAGAGGAGAAGGTTTGTACATTTCCTCAACAGAAGAAGTTTTGAAATGTAAATGTAACAGCATTCTGTGCCCAGGGCTGGAGGTGAAATAAATTCAGCCTTTTGGAGCTGCTGTGTGACTTGAGGCTGCTGTGCTCAGCTGAGATGGGGCAGGAAAATGGGGCAGTCACTCTCCTGCCTGTTCTCTGGGAGAGCTGTTACCCTGGATTTCGTGTTGGGACACACAAGGTGCTTTGCTGGATGAAGAAGGAGCCTTATTTTCCTTGCTGTTTTTACAGTAGACTAGAGTTTGTGCTCTGCTTTTTTTTTCTTGACATAGCTGGTCCCCAGCCAGGGAAAACACAAGGCTGTGCATTCCCAGTGCTCTGATGCTTCCTTCCCCTCCTTGTTCCATGCCCAATACAGCCAACTTTGCAGGTAAGGAGCTTCCAGCAGAGCAATGCCAGTGCTGCCAACTGCTTGGAATTTTTTGCTTCTAGCCATTGAGGCATGCAGAAACTACCCAGGAATGCTGACTGCTAAAATATGGACACAAGAGGGAAAGTAGGAAAGCACAGTATGAGGCTCTGTGTGTTGAATCATGGAAGTGTTAACTCTGTGTTGTGGTATCTGCTGCTTCTCAAAGCTCACTGTGGTGTAAATGAATAGTTGGGACCACATTGATGCACTAGCAGCTCATGTAAAGGGTTTGGAGGGTTAGGATTTATTTCTTAGCATTGTAAACATTACTAAGACACATTCTTTGTAGAACTAAAAACCTTACAAAAGTAGTTGTGCAATCCTGGTCTGTACAAGGGGCTGTGAACAGAACAGCAGGGCAGTCCCTGCCTCCAGGGGCTCCACAGTGTGTGCAAACTTTCCCAGGCAAACTTCAATAGTTGTGTCTTTATCTGTTGGAGTTCAGTTTGGAGCATCTCCCCGAGGCCTTCTGCAGGTCTTTCATCACAGCCTTATGTTAGCCCCTGAGAACAAGGCAGAGCAGTTGCTGGGCTAGTTTTCCATATGAAAATGTGGCAGAGGGAAGAAAGGAACAAGCACGGTGAGGATTGGAAAGGGAGTGGGAGATTTTGTCAAACCAGGGTGTCTCTCAGCCTGCAGTGTAGCTCATCCTGAACCTGACTGTGTCACTTGAATCAGAGCAGCCCAAGTGACACCATCTTTGGAAACATTCCCCAGAAAACAGGCGTTTATGTAACTGCAGGGTGGTGAGGATTTGGCTCCCTTGAGTTAATTCCTCTACTCCTTCTGCCCCAAGTTGTGCAGACACCACATGAGAGCTGTGCTGCTTTGCATGCCCTGAGCTTTTAGCTCCTTTGGATACATGCAATTTGCAGCCCTGGCTCATGCTGTTGGCTGAAACAGCAGCTGGAGCTGAATCCCAGTATTGTCCTGTGTCAGTCCATACTTCATTTCCTCTCCATCTCCCAAGTTTCTCTTAGCCCTTCAGCACCAGTGTTAACTTACTGTGACTTCAAAGTGTTTTTCCAGGACTGTGTATCCAAAATTCTTTAACAAATATGCCTTGGCAGGGCAGGTTTTGCTTTCTTTTCTACTTAAGGCAAACCTTGTGCTTTAAAAGGGGTAGAAGGTTTCTCAATAAGTCATTGCTATTTAAAGAAAATAATCAATGCTGAGGCTTTTAAGAAAATCCAAAGCTGTTATATGAAGCCAGGTACCAAAATGTTGCTGCTTGCTTGGCCTTTTATCTGCTGCAGCTCCAGGGAGAAAGTGGTTTAGTGTGTCTGATTTGTAATAAGATCTAAATTGTGGGTTGGACTGTCTGGCCAAGAAAGGTCTTACTGACTTAGGAAATACTAAGGTGATCAGATAGATTGGGTGGAGTGAGTAACTAGTATTCCTTTATATGTTCCTTTGGTGTCTGGGTTAGCATGAGTGGAGGTTCTTGTTCCCTTGCAGCAATGCATCATTTAAAAGTCTGTGCCAAATTTAGTACATGCTCTTGTTTCATTGCTTTTTCCAATGCCTAAGTGGACTGAGACTTTGGGAACTCAACCTTGCCCTGCAACAGATTCCTGTGCGACCTTGAGAAAGTCACTGAATGTCTTTGTTCCTCCTTTCCCCACCTTTGCAGTTGAAATGCTGCTTCTGTGTCCAGTCTGCTTGGAAGATAAAGCTTTGGAGCAGGTACTGTCTGCTCCTCAATGAGTACAGTGTGTCCTAATCCTCTTTGGCTTTCCTCTTAAAACAAAAATACTGTGCCAGGTGACTGTACTTAAAAAACATATTGCAATGTCTTCCAGAATACCAAAAAAAAAGTGAAAGGTACTTCTTGTTACATTTATCCTGCCCAGGCACAACATCCCATGGTTTTTAGAATGTTTAAGAACTATGTATGTTCCATAATCCATGGTGGCAAAACCTTTCCAGGAAGATGCCAGAGGGATTTGTCTTGAGAAATGTGCCTTCTGCATCACTTTCTTGGTGGGGCCTGGGGGAAGAGCTAACAAACAGACATTCAACAAGGTTAAGAACACCTTTCTTAAATGGCAGATGTGATGCTGATTTCTACCTACTCTGTGCTACTCAAACTCTGTGTCAGCCTTTCCTCCTTGGATTCATGTGTACTTGGTGCCCAGTAAAGGTGGATGAGAACAGGAGCAGAAAGGTAAAGGCCAAACATGCCATGTTAGTGTCTTGGTTGCTAGTTTTTGGGGTGGTTTTTTTTTTTGCTCTGTGAGCAGTAATTCAGCAGAAATGTCCCTGATTATGGAAATATGTAGGGAATGTCTTGTGGGCGTCCTGCAGTTTCTTTTTTTCATGAATTACTGTGATCCAACTGCTAAACATTATGCAGTGATGTATCCTCTGAAGTTAGCCTAAGGCTTGCCGAGGAAGTTTAATGTTTTCCTTTGATGTCTGCATGGAACCTTACTGAACATGAATGTGAAATTCTCCAACACAAAAGGCTGCAGCTCCTCCAGCACTGCGAATTTAGGGCAAACAGAGGACTCCTGTGTGCCTAACTTTCTCATTTGGGCTTGGATTGTTAATGAGGGAGCACTTAGCAGCTCTTTTCTCTCTTCTCAGACAGGACTTGCATGGTTTGTCAGCAAAACTCCCTCCCAGTCACTGTGGCCTAGCCCTTCCCTGGCTAGCAGAGTGCTGGAGCCTGAGCTTGTTGGGTCAGCAGCCTCTTGATGAGCTTTATGACACACTGGAAGCATCAAACTTTGCTCCATGTTGCAACTGGAGGATCTTAAAAGGATTTGAAACTTTGATGTTTGCTTCCAGATAAGTTCTGGACGAATTCAGCTACTTGGTGCACCATGTATAGGTGAATTAGGCAGTAATAGTTGGGCTTTTTGTTTGAGGCTGGTTTTTTTTTCTTTGAGTGTGTGGAGAAGACAGTGTGTAATGTTCTTGGTGCTTTACTTCTCAGGAACCAGCTGGTATTTGTGTGTCAGTTCACCTTGAAGTTATTTACTGGATGGGGGGAGCATGTACACAAGTTCAAAAAATAATCCTAAAATTATGCTGTAGAAGTCTTTGATCTAATGGACAAAGAAAGGCATTTAGTAAAGTGTCTGACACAGGTCAAGTG